GTGATGTAAGTATATCAGTGACTACCGCATCTCATATGCAATATCTTTAGTATCTAGCAGAAGCAGAGTTACAGTTCAAAATCCTGTAGACGTGAATTTAATTAGTATTTAATAGAACTGCTATATTATGCTGATAGATACATGGTACTTGGTTTGTTTTACTACGTTTTTGTTCATTGTGTCCTACATATTCATTGCTATACAAAAATATACAGTGATATCGCATGTAGCACCATAGTTCATAAATAAACAACTTTACGAACTAATTTTCTAATTCTATTTCCTTTTAATTAACAATTTCATTTAACACTTTGTTTTTTAACATGTGTTTTCATTCATGTAATCATCTATGCTCATAATATAAAATATTACATTTTTTGGTATCTTCCATGTAACCTCATATGAAAAATAAAAATGTAACTACCTACTTTTATATCTGAATACCTTGGTCGAACGAAACTAAACTTTACTTAAAGGAATTAACAATATGTCATTCTATTGTCAAAGAATCAAATTAATACGGATAATAAATGAAGCTTGCGCCGTGTACTTATAAAAAATTTTCAAGATTTGCGATTTTATTTGTCGCGATTTCGTTACTGTGAAATTCTGTGAACTATAAAAATAGAAAATATGTTTATACTCGGATTGCAAATAACGCGATGCTACCAATTCTCCAAGGGATGGGTGCAATAGTATAGCCCTGACATATTCTGATTTCGTTCATTGAGAAATGTGAATAAATAGTTTATTTTTTAAGCTACAATAGAGACAGTAATATTTTTTCCTATCCTTCTTACAAAAAAAAAACAAAAAAATGCAACTTCTCCTATGTAATATCAAATAGATTGAATTCACGTATCAAATTAATGAGATAATGAGATGATCTAAAAAATGTAAGAATGTGAAATGGGATGATTTCGATGCTACATACACTCACACACGCAAAATATCACACACTGTGGCATACCATTCCGCAATATACGTTTCATGATGTATAAATAATAACTTTACAATGCCATGTTACAGAATCTCATTATTAAAAAGTTGACAAATATGGTACTTTCAATATATTAATATGTCAAATAGCCATTTGGTTGAATTGGGGTTTGTGAATTATGTTTTGACCACATAATGCAATATATAACAATCGTAATGTTAAAAATGTCGACTAATAAATTAGAAGATGTCTACGGAAATCTATCAATTATTCCAGGTATAAAAGATAGTTACATAATTTGCATTGTACCATACTTGTGAAAAGAAATGGATTGAATCATGCATACTAACAATCTTTCCCTCCGAGCAAACAATGTCCACAAGAAATACAAAACAGCACATCGGATGAAATGGTCTCATTTAAGCAAAATATCACACATTATATCGATGGTGAAGGTGCGACTAGAGATGACTTGACTCATTCAACTTTAATTCGTTTACTAATCTCTTCTTGTTGCTTTTCCCTCCACTCTTTCTTAGGTTTCATTCTCTTGAGTTGACCGTCCCTACAGAATAATATCATTGAATCATTTTCTTGATTATTTCTCTTTACTTTTTCTACCATGTAAGAACGTACCATTGTAAATCAACCAATCCCCCTTGCCTCGCTATCACAGACTTTACTCTATTCGCGAAGTCAATAGCACTTTCGCCTTCATTTCTGTACATTGGCGGAAGATACCAGACATCACAGACTATAGCCCAACTAGACATAGTCATGTACAAGTATTGTATCATTGAATATCTACTACTGTTCCAGAAAGCATCTCCAAACCTTGGATCATACTGAAAAGTAAAACGACACTGTATCGCCCGACTTCATGGTTCATCGAGCAACCTTGTTTTGCTAAGATTATACCTTTATCGCAACAGGATAAATTACACCGCCGACTTCGAAACTGCCTTTCTTAAATTGCATAACTGATGTGTTATTAATACATGTTCCTTCCGGAAAGATAAGAATCGGTGGGTTCGTAGGATCAGATACGTGTTTTTTTAATCTGTAGAGTATAAAAAATTAAAAGATAAGTTTGTATACCGTGTTAACACAATTTGATTAACGGAAATCTTGTCCTGCTAATTACCTTTTTGCTACAGCTTCCCTATCCTTGACTTCTGATCTTTCAAACCATATATGGGGAGAGGCACGAGCCAGTGCTCTTTGCAAAATCCCGAGGAACCCACCGTGCCTCTGACCTATCTGAATTAATATTCATTAATTAAACACTACGATTCAGTCATTCATAAACAGTTTAAATGTTAATAAACGACGATTATATTGAGTTGTTGGAAAAGCTTCAAATCCTTTTTGGTATCTTCATTAGAATCCTGACTGATTTCGTTTAAAACATTTCCAATAACTCAATACATCTCCAAAACGTTTACACCCAGATGATGTTAAGATCAAGCGACACATACAATTTTGAATTCAACGAAGACTACAATGGAACCAAAAAATACCACATTATTTTGAGTATGGTCATCGTCTCTTTTTATTTAAATCCAATGACGAAAAGGAGATGCGTCTAGGCAGGCGACATACCAAGGAGTAACAGTTATCGCACATGAGTACCAGAACGTCTATGGGAGACGTGTGATTAGCCACACATATTCCTCTTACAGGTCGATTCTCTGGATTGTGGTAAGTAATAACTGATGATAGAGCGCTGGACAAGACACCAAAACACATTATGGAGACTTTGTAATTCAGCCATCTTTTGAAGCTACCCTCTGGAACGTAGCCCACAACTGCTGTACATACCGTCAGCCACATCACCTGTAAACCATAAGCTTTGCACCTGAGAAACGATGATTCCCTCTGTACTTGTTGCTGAGTAGTTTTACCTGCAAAGCAAAGTTACAGGATACTGTTACCTGTAACATTTACTAATGCATTTCAACTTTGTCGGTAGGAAGTATTTTATTTTGTGTTGCGAAGGTAGGGAAGAAATTAATATGACCCAAAAATGCAAGATTGTGGTGATAAATAATTAAATTTTCCTTTTTTAGTGTTTCCTTTTTTAATCCATTAATGGAAGGTAGTGTTGATTAATCAGTTGTCTCGCCTACTGTTAGTGATATTCCCTGGTTGTTTTATATGCTAAATTGAACCCAATGTTAGCGCAAATGATTAATCGTATTCGCGTGTGTGAAACTCAAACGAAATGCAAGTCATATACTCCTCAAGACATTGGACACACACAAGACAATATTGCGAATGAATTAATTCCCAAAAGAGAACGACGCTGGACGGATAACGAATTTTGAAAACAACCATGACATACTGATATCCTCAAAATAATATATTACCAAAGCGAATGTCGTCTGTGTGGACAAGATGCACACGTCGATTGTGGAAGTGTGATTCGACACGCACACTCCTCCAGTTTTCGGTTTGTACTCTGGATTATGGATTGTAATTGTGGCCGATAAAGATTGCGATATTAGCCTGAACGCGATCTGGCTACCCGTATTGTATGCCCATTTCTTAATAAAACCGTTCGGCAGCAAGTTGATACAAAATGTCGTAATTACAAGGAACTGTACCTAGGGAGCTTTGTTATTAGTTCACTTACAAATTCGTAACTATCTTTCGTTTTGCATCTAGAACTCACAAATTGAAATACATCCTTGCACATAAACTAAAATATAATTATCGACGTTTATCACATATCCTATCAATTTTTCTTCAACTTGTATTGACAATGTACGCGAGATAAATTCGTGCGAACTTACCCCTATGAAACAAATAAATATCCTCAGAGGTAGGAGAAAACAATATCGCATAAAAAATCCAAACATCCATATCACAGTCAACTTCCACGAAATAAATTCGTAGTGTCTATTTGTACGAGTTAATAGGTTCCAGTTCTGAAACAAATAACAACTTATTATTTAAGAAAAGCAGAATAATTGGTTCAGATAATGCATTAACAATCTATTTAATAACATTAAGCAGCCCTTGCTCCGAATCTAGACTAAGAGTAGACTACATAATTACTGTAGAATTTTTTGTACAGCAGTGCACATCAGTTTTACAATTTATGAAAAATCACCTTAAGTTCCTCCGCTTCAAAACGAGACGTTACTTCATCCTCGATAATAGCCTCTACGCCTGCTTTGATGTAGTCTAAACAAATTGCCGGTTCAAATTCCCCCTTCAACGATTCAAAGGAATCTCTGTGAATAAGGCTCTGCAAGAATGATTAATTGCAAGTCAATTGTTTGAATAACCCTTCGCAAGAAATGATTACAGGAGAATAGAGAGAAGCTCACCTCATTTTTGCCGGCGGTGGTGGTCTGTGACTCCGTCGCCTTTGACTCTTCCAGGTGATTTCTGTGATTCTGCATTTCCGGCTCGGGCACTAAGATCAGATCCTTTGATCTGGCTATCACATTGTTGCCGAGGACACCGTTCTGTCCTTTGTGGCTCGTGCCCATTGAATTATACGCGTTCTGCTTTTCGACGAGCGGCTCGTGCTCCTCGTCCGCATCCTCTTGGTCGTCCTGATTCCATGTGCCGTTTCTCTTCTTGACATTTTCAATGTTTTGCCGGCCGTACTGTAGCAAAGACGACGTGTAGTTAATGACTCGGAAGAATTTCCATTGCAGCCTTCGCAACGGTATCTGAATGTTAAATCTAGTAAACAATGGGGCCATTCGATTTAAAATTCATTATCGAGACGCTCAGATCGAAAACCAAGCTGGTCACGATGAAATACAAAATGCAAATTAACGTAATTGTCATCATCGCGGTGACAACGACAGAGTCGCGTAATTTCACATAAGGTTGTTCTACAGAAATTGTAAGGAAAGTTATAAAAGACTAAACTCTGACTTATGGATTTTCAACTGCACTACTGGAAATCATCGGGATCACCAGCGTTCGCATAATTAGCGATCTACGCTACAAAATTGTTTACGTCCTCGGGGAAAATTAGTGTTGAGTGTCCAAAGACGTAATTATTCTGGGTGAATTGTTTTTAGGTGCTTACAAGAGGTGATTATTCCTATCGATTTTCTATTTTTGTCGTGGTGAAGTGCATGCTGAAGACTACAAAGAATGCTCGAAGTTCTTGGACAGTTTGTCAGCGTTTCTGAACTAATAAAATCGGAGCGACTCTGTTCAATAGTGTCTTGTTTTTGATATCATTGATTTTTCAGCAGGTGCGCGCAACGCTTTGAGCGTCGATAAATGCATATACAAAAAGCGGAAAATGCTGAATTGAAAACATTCACAACGGGTAAAACCTAATGAGAAACATAAATAATGGAAGTTTAATAACTCTTTTCCCAGTGTGCAACAGGTTTTATGCGTTATGCAATCCGGAAAAAGTAAATTTTATATAGACCTTGATAACTTTTTACTCGGCGAAGTAAGTGCTTGTCTCGCAAATAATGTTTTGCTGCATTTTAAATATTTTTACGACATCATAAACAATATACAGAATCGTTTCATACGAGAAGTGTTCAGGTAGTTTTCAAAATGCAAAACAGATATTGCATATTGTAGTAACAGGAATTTGTATACACATTGTAAGAAAGCTTTATCCGTTAATTTAATTACTCGATTACGAATGATAAATGAAAGAAACAAGTGATTGATATGAATTTAATCGGTGAAAGATGTCACCGATGAGATTGCTTAACAATCATTTGTTCTTGGGTTGGGGACCGATTAGAAATACATAAATAATGCAGTATACATTATGCAATTGCGCGATGCGTTATCAATAAGTGATATATTTAACTCGTATCGTAAATAAATTGCAATGCGCCGAACGGAAAATGGTGGTGAACCCTGAGCGAGAACTCTGAGGAACGTTTTAAATAAAACGGGAAGTACAGCATGTTGAATTAATTTTTACTGCTTTCAGCTATATGTATATTTGAAATTATTACCTAGTCATGATAGATAAATCAAATATAAATAAAAACTATTGCATAAGACGTTATTACGATTATCGTATGATTAGTAAAATCTGAATAGTCATTTCAACCATTTAGCATAATAAACAAGGTGCACATACCAATGGAGAATCTAATTCTATTTCTCTAATACACTAAAAAACTTTGAAGTTTCATTATTGTCGACTAATGTACGAGTATGGAATAAACTCGAGTTACGTAATATGCTAATGGGTCAAGATGCGGGGCAGATCGCAAGATTATGATAATACAAAATAAGCAAATATAAACTAGTAAGACTGTTGTAAGATCCAATGCAATTTTTAACACAATGATATCATAAAGGACAGAAATTAATTCAGGTCCATATTAATTCGTGTCCACACGTCGGAACTAAAGAGATGCGCGAACTTCAAACTGCACTTATCATGTTTAACTTCTTTTTATATAATATCTGGTTACGAAGACGAATTTTACAAGATTATGTCACCTAGGCGTACTGCGACGAAGTATAATATATGTACAGATGGAAGTTACAGTAATGCGACGTATAAGAAATTCGTCTGATCATGAAGCTTTGATATAAGTTTTTATTGAGTCCCTAATTTGAAAAATCATTATGGTAAAATCAGTGAAATTATTTTTGAGTATATTGTAAACATGTTTGAGTATGCTGCAATTCACCACAATCTTTGAAATTATAAAGAAGAACTTTCTTTCTTTTTAAAATGGAAGTGAGTGATATATCAGCATCAGATAAGTTCTCCAAAAATTAGCTCCTCCCTCTAAATGTGTTATTTGCTCTATCATCAACGAGATCCTTTTCGAGTTACAGTAATCTTGCACATCGATCATGCCCTTTCTCAAAACTGTTTTTAGCTCCGTTACATTGTTGCCAAATCCTTCTGCGGATACAACATATCTTCAATTGTTTCAGTTCTTTTCCTTATAAAAATTGTTAAAAATAGCTGTGCTCTCTCAGGTCCAAAGTGGTGCAAACTCCTCGAGCGAGGCATTACCGTACTTCTAAAGGTCGTCGACTGGCCTTGGCGAAGAGATCGAAGACGATCAGCCGAAGGAGATCTTGTAAGTACACTATCGAAAGCTGCGGGTTCAGATAAGGAACCGTCTAGTTCGGCACGTGTCTTCTCCGATCGACGAATTAACTTGGTTCGCTTCGCAATGTATCGATAACAGACACGAAAGTACAGCAGATAAAAGGCCAGAGAACTTGACGAACAGAGGATGCCCACGGACTTTGCCCGCGATCTTTTCAGCTTTCCTTGGTCCCGTGATGCGGCGGATTTTTTTTACAGATGAGATGCGGTGCAACACCCGTCAACCTTTGTACTATTATACCCAGTGGCAAGATAATGAGCGGCTAGTATAATTTCACCAGTGTGTTCCGCGATCACGACCAAAATGTGTGATCGGAAAAAAATCTGGCGCGACGGAAACACTAGTTGCTCAACGCCACGCCAATCAATGGTGTACGGGAACCGTTTTAGAACGATTCCTATGTAACGAATAAAAAGTGTTAAAAAAAATCAACCGCGCGTTGTTGCAAATTGTTCACACGTTTCATTTAATACATACGCAAATGAATAGTAAAATGCTAATGCAAGTCCCAAGACGCTAATCCTAATTCTAAATGATGTCATTCAAAGAAGTTTTAATGTAAGTATCGTCAATGCAAATATCTGTGATGCGAGTTAGGCTAATGAAGACAGTAAAGTTTAATGAATGAGAAAATGTTTGTTGAACTAATGAGTTAACTCTTTGAATGTTGGAATTTGTAAATAAAGAAGAAATACGTCTCTTTACAAAGTCTAAGAGAATCGAATCAAAGATAAAGTTAATACAAAATGAAAGCTGCACGTCCGGAAGTTAAAATGATAATCTAGTATACGTCCACCATGTCTCCAGATTTATAACATTCCAATGAAGACCTATTAGGTTAATTTTTTATGTCTGTTCAATTCCAATGTTAGTATTATTTACGACATTTCTAAAAGTCCTAATACCATTCCTTGTATAAGAGTCGTAGGATTAGTCTTTGTGATCCACAGTTCCTGAAGGATCAGAAATTTTAACATCTATAGATTTCGAAATATCGCTTAATACTATTAATAGCTACATATACAAAAGTTTAAAGATTTTTTGAATTTTAAATGTATGAAATTTAAAAATAGATATTCTTGTAAGTCAGAGAACTTGAATATAATCATTTCTTGGATAGCTAGGAGTCCGAGGATCAAAGTTTCTTTGTGCACAAAAAGTGATAGTAGCAACTTCAAAACGTGTACTAGAAATTAGAAAACAATGTTAGATGCAATCGAGGATCTACTCTTCGTGCAACCTCTCTCGACGCGACGATAATTGCAGATCCTTTCTCGGCGACATGTTACAGGCGAAATGACAAATGAGCGACTCGCGGAATTTTGACGTGCACTTATTCGCCATGACTTGCTGACATAACCAGCTCGAAATCGTCAGAAAAGTGCGGGGCATCTCTGAAAGTGAGTCGCGTGTCCTATCTTATCAAATTAAAACTTTGCCGGTTGTTTCTCCGGAATCGATGCTACATGATTCCAAAGAATGCAATACTCTGCGACCTTGCACGACGAGAGTTATATTCCGAACAAAGTTTGAAATTGAGATGGAAATCCAGCTCAAAGAAGCTTATTTCCAATTCACTTCCGGAATTTTTTTCCTACAGTATCTCTTTATGAAGAAGCTAATTCATATTCTGCCTGAATTATTGTGTCACTGGCGAACCTGACGTTCCTTGTACGACAATTAATCTTATAAAATGTTATTTAAATATCGACGTACAACGAAAAGATTAACGGAAGAAATTGAAAATATTTGATACTGCCTTTTCTCAGATAAAATTTTTTATATTTGCAGTTACGTAGTCATAGGTGACCGTCATGATATAAGTGCAACAACGTTATTCACCAATGACAACGGTGACATAAAAACGCTCCTAACGTAAGTAACCGTCGCTACCTAAACATAACGGTGTTGGTCACCGGTGACCGTCCTAATGTAACAGGAGTAACATCAGTCATCAGTAACTACGGCAATTTAAAAATGCTCTACCATAGACGACCATCGTCGTCTGCACGTATTAGCGTCACCGGTAACAGCCACGATATAAATTGAATCGTATCAAGTATCAATTACCGATGATCGCTACGATCTATCGATGACCGTCAATTTTTAAATAGAACACTACGATCGCCGTATGTTTGGAAGATTTGCAATTCGATCGCACTTTGTTTCTACACATGTAATATAATTCACGCATTATCGTGTTCGGTGAATGACCTTTATGCTAGGAGGATTAGTTGATCAACAGAGACGGAAAATTACAGATGTATTCTATCAGACAAAACGTCATAACAGTCTTACCTACGTTATCACGAAAGGTATGAAGACACGCTAAATAAAAAATAAGTCTGGAACGCGGATGACTCTTTCTTCTCTTTCATTATTATCGGGCTTTTCAATACTTTTTCAAGCGGAATTCCTCTCTAAATATTTTCAACATTTCCCCGTTCGTCGGAATCACAATATGAATAATGCAATTTAAGAAATAGATTGATCACGCGATTAATCGTAATCGCGTAATGTATTTCGAAATCTGCGAGAAGTAGTTCCGATAACGAACTTTAAACCCTAGTTATCGATTTCCGTGCAAGTTTCTGGATTGAGTACTGCAACAATGAAACAATTAAAGCTGATATCATCGATTAAAACAATTAAAAATTTGCTCATAATTCGATATATCTATTGTGTCTTTAAATCCTGTCGGGACTCATTTCGGACTTGGGACTGAACAAGACCGTGATTAATCATTTGTACAGCGTGGTTCGAACTCGAGACAATGACTTCATTATTTTGCATAAATTATTGTATTATGTACGTGTAACCTCTTTCGGATCACTACTTTGACGTAACCGAGATTAAGCTATCAGGAAAGTCGAGCAGCCTCGACGAATGTGGTTTTGAAATTTTGGCTGTCATTTTGGTTGCGAAAACGGGCACATCCTGTTTTCGTCTTCTTCGATAGTGTATCATTAGCATTCAAATCACGAGTTAGACATTTGGAGAATGTCAAGTTCTTTGTACGCAAATTGCAATCCGTTGAATATAACACTCGCGAGAACTTTTTCATGAAAGTATAACGATTATAAACACGTTTGTTGCATTCGGTAGGGACAAAAAAAACTTGACCGTTGACACGGAATTTTCTATCAGGATTACACGAATGCTTGTAGATTTGCATATCAGTGTTGACGGCTTGAAATCAATACGGTCTAGTAACGTGCAAGCTAACGGCGTTGTTGAATCACCAAAGTACGCTTAAATTAATTCCAATTTAATGTTTCCGTGGACACTGGTTAGATGCGTTGACACAACGTTGGCACAGTCAAGCACGACATGAAATTTTTGTATCGAAGTCATGTCATTTTATTCCACATGTTACACGCGTGGACTTTCCTTCGTTGCACAATTTAATTTTAATTTACCTTAATTTACAATGTCATCTTTTATCTGGATAACTTCTAACAGTATTCACTAGGACGCTCTTTAATGATCTGAACACCGTACGAAGCAAACGAATTCGACTCTAGGTAAATCAGCTCGCACGCAATAAAAATCGATGGCGATAGTCGAATCGCAAGGTGGTCGAGATCAACAAAGTAAAAAGTTTGTTTATATCTCTCCTATCGGAGGTACTGCAATTAACGATTAAAAGATTTATGACGTTCTCTCTTCCTCAAATAGAAAATGTTTGCTTACGACGAGAATACTACCTCGTGGAGTTGACGTTTACGTGGACAGTCAAGCATCAGTGCAAATTTTAAATCCGTTTTCAGCACAACCACGAATTTCTCTTGCTTAAAAATATAGATCGCGAAACGGCTCGACAAAAGAAACACTGAAAACAATTCCGCCGACATTTCAGAACGTAAATTGAATTATGGCTACCTACTTGTTGATCGTTAATTAAATATTGCGTACGGTGAAGCTGGTCTGAATGCGACCATGCACCTCATTGATCGACATATCACAACGTTTACTATGGATTATTATTAACTACACGTAAACATAACCGTCGAGATCGTCTAGACACCGAGATTTTCGTGAAAAAGATTTGAATTGTGGTTCCCGAAACGAAAGTTCTCGATCACATCGAACTACGAGAATGACGTTTGAAATGTTTTCCAGAATTCGGCTGAAAAACGTGACGCTTTCGGTAAACTATTTTTATATTAGACACGTGTTCTTGATCACCAGTTTCATCGCGAGATACATTTCGAAAATCTATGCAATTTCCACGATAGCTACGACGATGACATATTTTCCTGTTCCACAGCTGCGTTCTGGATGATAAACCGGCTGAGTGTCATCGATTCAATTCACGATTTTCAAAATCCCTACGCACGGTGCAACATTTAAAGAGCCCGTAATTGTCTGTTTCTGGTGATTGTCTTACCTCGAAAAGTGCCAACAGCAGTTTTATATATAATCTTCGCACACCAAGCGATTTTCCGATAGAAGCGAGAAATATGATGGCAAGTAAAAACATGATAAAAGGTGTTAGAAGTAGGGAAAACGCGACGGACATGACCATCCACAATGACGCCATTTTGCTCACTGCCGAGAACTAGCCGAGAAAGTTAAACGATCCCTCGCTTCAAGTCCGGGACTAACAGCATTTGTGTGGAACGTAGAACTCCCAGAAAAGACAGCAATGGTGGTGCCATCTTTCAAAATCTTGCGTGCTACTGCGCAACTCGGGTCGCTATGAATTGGCGCTAATATTTGAAATACACTTTTGCAAAACTAGAATACACTTCACAGTTTAATTTAAAATTAAAGTCAAATGATTCTAAAGTGTAAAATAAACGTGATTTCAATGGGACAACGAAGTAATTGTAAAGTGTAATTGGTTCACAAGTCAATTCCATTCCATTTTTCTATTTGCTACTTGAGAAAAATGGTGAAATGTAATTCCCGGATTGCCAATGTCTTAAACATTTATTCGTAAATAAAGTTTATAATATTATTATTATTATTATTATTATTATTATTATTATTATTAT